TCAGCTGCATCGCACTGCCGCATAAACAATGGATCCGCTGGGCTGGATGAGCAACCTTATCTGGAAAGGAATAAGGAATAGTGAAAAGCCATGTCACTTGGAACGGAACTGGTTGCTTATTGACTTTTTTTTAGTAAGACCACTTTGCTTTGGTAAGCAAAATTCTATTATATTATTCTTAGGCATGGTTGCTTACAAGACAAAAGCTAGCTTCTAGATGTTCTTTGCCTGAACATATGGAGGAAGCAACCTTCTGGCCTCTGTACCAGTAGTGGAGTGGCTTGCGACTTTCAATCAGAAAAAAAGGAAAATGGAGCAAGGCAAGGGAGAAAGAAGTTGTCCCCTCTTCTCTGGTAACCCGCCGCCGGTCATATAGAGTGCTCCGCCCGCCACCGCATATGTATGTAGAAAAAGAGGGAGCAGGAAAGAACAACCGTTTGACTTTGGCACATGAGGTGGCGGGTTTGGCTGGGTAACATAATGGAAATGTATCGGACTGCAAATCCTGGAATGACGGTTCGACCCCGTCCTTGGCCTCGGGGAGTGGCGAGCAGCACGGAACTTTAATGAATCAAATGGCATAGCATAAAGGGGGGGCTTTCCTTTGTTAGAAATCCACAGACAACATTCTGGAACTTCCAAACCAAAGAAATGCAACATGAGAAGTTTTACGTTACGCTTCAATAGAATGAATTCGGTAAGGGTAGAATACGCCCCATGGTCGATCGAAGGTCCTGTGCCACTTGAACTCAAATCTATCTGACCTTCCATCCATCTTTGTCCAGCCAGCCAGCTCATAAATGTTAGACCAACCAATCTCAGGGCTGACACAACCGAATTGGTTGAGGAAAAGGAAACCCCAGCGACCAAGCACTCCCGCCTCCTAAAGCGGAGACCGAACAACCGCCAGGTTGTCGAAGACACGTCTGAAGAGGAGGCGGGCGCCCTCTAAGTTGACCACCCTACCCACTAATGGACTATGAGGGGGGGCAGGCGAACGGGAACCGACCGAGAACCCGAACCGCTTGCCATATCTAAACTAGCTGACCCCTTCATACATACTCGATTCATTAGGGTCGGGGATGGATGAAACCCATAATCAAATAAGTGCAAAAAATAGCGCAAGCGAAGCCGGGAAACGGACCGCAGCGCAACGACTAGGACTCGTGTCGGAGGAGTTTTGAGCGTGAGCTACCACTCATGCAGCGGCAAGGACCCGCAACTCTCGAAGGGGCCACCAACCGCCCGAATCACTGTAGTGTAGGAAACCCTCCCTTTACTCAATGGATAGCGCTTATCCTCTTTCAATCAACAAAATGAGAAATGGATGAGAAAGAGGTCTTTATGGAAGAGGCTTTGCACCTAGGACTCATAAAGATCCAGAAGAATGGGTCTAGGCTTTCGAAAAGATGAAGATGCAAAGGGTAAAGAGAAAAGAAATGTCTTTTGAACAACCAACCTGACATAAGGATTCTAGCTCGCCCAGTTAGAGCAGATGGAGATTCTCGGACGGGGAAAAGCGGCACTCAATCAACATCTATTCTATTAAACAACACCAAGAACAAAGCCATACCATGCCCTCGGGAGAAAGACGTGATGATTGCCATGAATGCTGCCCTCGAGGACGTGTACAAGAAGGTCTTTGCCGATTCCTATCAACATGGTGCACCTCTCAGTAGATAGAGGGGCGTGAAAACGCCGTGGAGACTTTGACCGAATGAATAGGTATCAATTGATAGACATTTTGATTGAGGAAGAGAATCCAGGATGAACGCTTTTTTCGTTCGCTATGTGCTGACTGGATGCTCGCGTGATCGATGGACGGGGGAATTGCATGAATGACGAGACCGGCCTAACCGAAAGTCAAGGCTCTTCCCTCTCTTGATGGCGAATCTTGATTGACTGACACTAGGAACCGATTCGGAGAAACAAGAAGCATGGCATGAGATACGCGGCGGCAAAATTTCCGATAGCGAATTACTTGACTCGATGGATGGAGGGCCCTCCAACTCAAGCACGAAATCAATGTTGAGTCAACAATCATCGAGAGGGGCACCGCCAAGCGAGATCGAGACCAGCACCTTGTATATATATATAGGTTGGGGAAAAGCCCCTTGTTTGTATAGGCTTCCAAACCTGCGCTTCTTCTAATATCCCAACAATCAAGAAAGTAGTAGGGGCTTCAAACCTTCGCCTATCTATACTATCTATAGTAAGTAAGGGGCCTTTTCTTGCTCGTTAGCGCTGTTTTTTGATTGCAGGGCGCTAGCTTACTTACTAATAAATAAGAAAGGGCTTTTTTCTTTCATCTTTCAGCTTGATCGGAATCGATTCTATGATTGAATAGCAGAAGTGCTACTTAGTAGTAGAAACTCGGAGAGACAGACAGAGAGGGGACTCCATCATACCTGCTAACTCCTAGGA